GGAAGGATCCGACGGCCCGCCCTCGCTGCTCACAGTCGGCGGCCCGGGGAACGCAGGAAGGTGAAGGCGATGGAATGATCGCCTTTCTTCCACTTTTCCTCTAAGGATGGAGTTGGGAGCCCATGGAGGCCAGAGCGTCAGCGCAGAATGTAATGATACCAGGAGTGTCACGGAGAACTGGGTTCAGACCCCTGAGAACAGCCAGACCTCAGCGGGGGAATCCTAGCCGGGAGGGGAGGGGGGGAAGCTGGGCAGTGCCCTCAGGGGGCTCCGATTGGGGCAAAGGAAGTGCAGTGACTTTGCTTCAACCAGCTGGTGCCGAGGAAGGAGCAGGCGAACTCTAGCTGGGGTTGAGATGTGCTTCGGGGATGTGACTTCTCCAGGGCTCCAAAGTACCCGGGTAATAATGCCCCCCCCCCATAGCGTTATAATGCACTTTCCAGTAATTTTGTTATTAAACTCTTACACCCTCCGTGGTTACTACATAAAAGAAAAAATCCTTTCTGCTTGCGTGGTCAGATATCAGGCACACCGAAGGAGTGGGGCAGGCCTACTTTAAGGGCGTCTGCCTAGGATGGAGCAGAATTCTGTTAGAAGTCAGGGGAAACCGGGACTGTTTTTGAGGAAGGATAGCGGAGAGGCTGGCCTCCAGTCCTTTTGTTCCAGAAGATCTGAACCCTGCCTGCGTCCTGTATTCATTGACTTGACATTTCTGTGTGCTGGGCGTTAAGGACACGGTGATAAATATCTCCCTTCCCTGCAGGACCTCACCATTCTAGTTGGACAGTCAAACAAAACATTAAAACCAGTCCCGCCTTGGCCGATGTGGCTCAGTTGGTTGAGTGTCCTCCCGTGCACTGAAAGGTGGCCGGTTTGATTCCCCGTCAGGCAGGGCACATGCCCAGGTTTTGGGCTCGATCCCTGGGTGGGAGGCAGCTGAAAAATGTTCCTGTCCTTGTTTCAGGCTGAGGGAACTGGCCCAGGGCAAAGTCACCGAGACGGAGGGGCGGGGGACAGGCAAGTGTGGGAAGAATTCATGGTTGTAGTGTGGTCCCGGACGCCAGCGGGCTCTCGCTGAAGCAGGATCTCACCGAGGCAGGGTCAGCCGGGCAGCCTAGAAAGCCCTGGATGGGGGACAGTGAAGCTGGCCCCGCAGCACCCAGGCTGGGGGAAGGCAGTGGTGTGGAGGGTGGGCCCATCTGAGAGAGAAGGAGGTAGAATGTGGTGGCAGGCTTGGGCACAGGGCGCGGAGCTTAGCCTGAAACTCGGTGTGGAAAAGCCCAGGAGAAAACAAAGCAAAGCAAAAGGAATGGATATTTTGAATGGCCTGGATTTAGCAGATCACAACACTTGGACAATGAATTTGGCTCTAAATTTTCTGGCAGCTTACAGACAAACAAAAATATACTGGGTTGCATAGTTTTGGATTTGGGACAACAGAAAGCATACGAATTAATTTCCAGAACAAAATTTTTCCTGTAATTGAACTCAACTGGGAATTGGTCGTGTAGTAAAGACTAAACAGCAAAGTAGAAAAAATGTTCCCGTCCATGTTACAAAAGATGGGAAGACAAAATTCCACGTGACTCTCTTCCTATACCGTTTTCCTGTCGTGGCTGGGAACATACTGCACTTCTGGGAGGGGCCGAGTGTCAGCTCAGGCTTGAGGGCAGCTAGGGCCCGGAATCCTATATGGAGGAGCCATGGCCTCAAATGGAGGAAGAGGTGACACCTACTTGGAGGAATGCAGAGAGCAAAGCACCCAAGGCGCCCAACCCTGCAGGGCGAGGCAGGCACAGCCGAGTATGGCTCACAGGGCGGTGGGCTGAGACTCTGGCCTGGAGAAGGGGCCACACGGGGCAGAGTGTGTTGGGAACGACAGCATCAGGAAATCCTGACCAAAGGGAAACAGGGGGAGTGGGAACAGCATTTGAGGATTCCGTTCAGATGGGCTAGGCCACTTCCCCAGCCGTCTAGGTCTTCCTGCCTCAGACCTGATGTTAAGCCTGCTTCTGGGGGGTGGGGAAAGGTGAGACTCAGGAGACCAGAGATACTCTCCGAGAGAGGCCAGGGAGGGTGGGCTCTTATTTGCAGCAGCACAAGGAGTGTTGCAGAAAAACCAGGAATTCCAGCCCGGCTGGCGTGGCTCAGCGGTTGAGCATCGCACTAGGATCCAGGAGACTGCAGTTTGTTTCCCAGTCAGGGCACATGCCCGGGTTGTGGGCTCCGTCCCCAGCTAGGGGCGTGCAGGAGGCGGCCACTTGGTGGCTCTTCTCATATCATTGATGTTTCTGTCTCTCTCCCCCTCTCCCTTCCTGCCACGACCTGTGCGGGAAAGTG